CACAGCACCATTACAACATATAGGGTCAGACTTTTGTTGTACCTCAAACAGGATGTAGCCAAATCCTTTCCCCAGTCCAGAGTTCGGGTCTCGTATCAGTCGTACCGCCTCGACTGTGCCGCACTTCTCGAAATGCCTTCGAAACGCTGGTTCGCTCATCTCTGGAAAGACAATGTGAATGAGTTTCAGCTTAAACCTACAAACCCGGATATTGTGTCATCAGCTGTAGCTCCACAGTGACTCACCGAAAGACAGATTCCCCACAAAAACAGAGCGCTTGTGGTCATGCTGAAAGACAACAACAAGATTTCTCAACAAATGCCGACAGATTTGCAGATTTAAAAGCTTTGATGTCTGCAGTCTTACCGATGAGCCGTCAGTGACTCTGTCCACTCGGATGTGAAAGTCCTTCTCGATCTCCATGCCGTTCCTGTCGGGACAGACAATTAAATAAACCTCAATAGCTTCTTGACTGCGTTCAGCCAAACAGCATCATCACATGTTTCAGGTGCACATCAGGAGTGTCTGACCTCTCCAAAGCTTTGGCAACTCCGTCCTCGTCCTTAAACACCACGTAGGCGTTCATGCTCTGCATCTTGGGATGAGCTTTGCGTCTGTGAAGTGAAAATAAGCTTGTTCATACAAACATCAGTTCCAGTGACGTTTAACTATTTAGCCGTGCAGCTGTATGTATGTTGGTGGGAAGCCAGTGAGGGATTACAGGATAACAAGAAGCACCATGTAGCCTTTTGATTGTGACTTAAAAAATAAATCGACAGTTACATTAATTTTCTTTATCTTATGCTCTAGTCACTCTGCTAGTTGTGCTATGTTGCATCTCTAAAAGCAGACATGAATTACTTCTATTGATGTGTCTTGGATTCATCCCCCCCTTAGTTTTTAACATGAAATATAAACACGGACGTTTTTGGAGAGACTTACTTGATGGCCGCCACTTTGCGAGACATGGACGGATCCTCTCTGACCTGCAGTATTGACACAGAATTAGTCACGTGACCAGAGTGGCTAACCAAGAGGAGACAAAGTGCTACACCTCCAGTGACTACTGTTGACTCTGGGATGTTGGTTGTGTTGTTTTTACCATAGAGCGAAACCGGATAGACTCAATAGTTCCTTTGTCCTTGAAGAGACTCCGCAGCGTCTAAGGAGAGACAAATATGACAACGTTCTTAAACTTACAACCGTTACAATCCTTCATGTCTTTATGTCCAACACAGCCAGTAAAACTTACTAGTACAGCTGCAAAAACCCTGTAACAACTGGTTGAAGCTCCTCAAACAAGTGTTCCTCTCAGCTAAAGATCAGGCTTTAACAGTGTCAAACCAATGAGGCTCCTCCTCAGTTTATAATGCTGCCACCTCCCTGCTTTATCTCTGAGGTGATAATGATGCTTTCTGTTCCCAGTAGACTGCCTGACCAGGTTGTTGAGTGTTCATGACTCGCACATGCATCTTCAGTCATAGGTTTTCCATAAATAACCAGGAACCAGCAGAGCTAGAGGCCACTTTCTTGGCTGGTCTGAGTTTCACTGTGGAGGCTGGCGGACGTTAACGAAGAGGAACATACCTTTTTTGTGCAGCTGATGGGCAGGTTGCCTACAAACACCGTCCTTGTCTTCTTTAAGGCCTCCTCTGCTTTGTTGGCCTTCAGCTTCTGCCTCTTCATCACCCAGTGCTCTGCATCGTTCTCTCCGGCCGACTCCGACGCCTTCCTCTTCTTCTTCTTCACAGACGTCTTGTGTCCTTGCTCGTCCTCATCTGCCTGCTGCAAACTGCTCTCCCTGACACCAGCGGACAAACAGAAACGATGTGAGAGGCAGAGAAGTGCAGTGACTGATGAAGACTTTGAGACTGAACCTGCTTCGTTTGAAGAAATTAAAGTAATGACAGAGATTCAGACATAATGTTTTTGGAAAAAAAAGAGGGATGAGAAAAGACCAGATTAGTTTCCGAACTCTTTACCTTTTCTCGAGCTCCTGGTCGGCTGCTGATTTCTCCCTGGGTGGCTTCTTCTTCTGGCCGGGCTGATCTTTGACTTCTGGACTTGCCTCCTGCTGCCCCTTTGTTTCTGTGCTCTTCTTAACAGGCTGCCATAATGAAGCACAAGGACATGTTGAAGGACAGCCTGATGACAATCTACATATAACACTAAAACCAACTGGACTCATCAATAAGCAAGCACACTCACATTCACACCTACGGACAATTTACAATCACCAATTAACCTCAGCATGTTTCTGGACTGTGGGAGGAAGCCGGAGAACCCGGAGAGAACCCACGCTGCACGGGGAGAACATGGAGACTCCACGCAGAAAGATCCCGGATGTCCTCACCGGGACGCAAACCGGCGACCTTCTAGCTGCGAGGCGACAGTGCTAACCACAGAACCACCTTGCAGCCCCTGATTATAACATATTTCATGATAAATTCTATTAAATGTAGACGTCTGTTCATGTTTTTGTTTTTTTTTCGTCAGTCAGACCTACAAATGAAGTAGTTTTAGCTAGATGGTGACCCTGACTACAGATAAAATCTAATTCATGGTATTTTTACTCCACTTTGGAAAAAACCGCTGGGATGCAGTTTCAAATCACAAATCACCTGCAGTGTTCAATCGCCAACAGATTTCCAGTAAAGGTGTGTCTGTCTGATAAGAGCCAAGCGAAGGGCAGTCTGGCGCATCGTCATGTCTCAGAGCAGAAGTCAAAACTTGTGAGGTCGAAGCTCTTTTGACTTACCGTGGGTGCAGGCTGAAACAGGACAGGTGCAGCCGGCGGTGCGCTGCTGAACAAAGCCGACAGGGATCCAGCTGTAGAACTGTTCTGGAACAAACTTCCCGACACCTGACCCACCACGTAGTCAGCCGACTGCTGTGCAGGTGACTCTCTGCTGAGGACAGAAACACTGAGATGAACACGGTACAACACCCAAAAGGCAAGACGGAACAACAACTGGACCAAGTGTTATGATCCACTTTATAGAGCGGTGCTTGAAAGTTAAAAGCCGAAAGAAACTATTTAGACATTTTTAATTGTTTGCAAAAACTATTACTTTTAATTTACTTATTGAGGGAAATCATACAGTACTATATAACTGTGAGTGGCAGCAGTGACTTCAGTAAAGTCAGCAGAACTTCAGTAACTGTTCTGGATTTTTATTAAATTGAGGGTTACATTAAAAAGCTTATGGTATTATGTAGAGTCGTCCTCAAATGTATTCATACCCTCCCATTAAAGAAGGGAAAACAAACAGCAGTCACTGAAATAAGTTGAAATTGACAAAAGTAATAATAAATAAAAACGTAATGAACATCATGACATTGCTTTTGAATTGTGGTTCAACAGAAATATTAAAAAAAAAAAACAAAAACAAAAAACACACACACAAGCAAACACGCATGATGGGACCCATGAACTAATGTTTATTATTATTTTTTAAATTATTATTTTTAACCACAACTCAAAAGCAAAGTCTTATTTCACTAAATTATAATTTATGAAATTTTTATTTATTATTACTTTTTTCAGTTTCTAGTTATTTGGGTGACCATTGTGAATTTTGCCTTTTCTTTAATGGAAGGGGATGAAGACATTTGAGGACGACTGTAAGAGTTCTCTGTGGGTCAAACAGAACCACTGGGCCCACTGGGACGTGCTGGGGAAACAAGTTGGACGTGTTAAAGTGAGGACTAGCCTGCCGGCAGATCGTGGATAAAACTTGACCTAGCTTTTCTTTAACCACTTGTGGTTTAACCACTCACAAACGTGTGAACCCACCTGTGGAGCCGTTTCTTCCCCATGGCTGCTTCCTGTCCGTCCGGCTTCACTCCGAACCCCGCTTTGTGCTTCTTACTGGAAACAATAAATCCGCGAAATTAATAGCAGCATTAATTCCTACTTGTAGCTGCAGCAAGTCCTCACGTTTACTCTTCGAGCACACGCCTGTCCTACTGCGAATTCGTTCCCGAAGGAAACACGGTCGACGCGGCACAAAGGTTCCTACTAGTGTTCCTCCATTGACAAAGCCGAACCGAACACTTTGCGTCCAGGACAGAGGGAACGAGGCACACCTGAACACGAAGCACGTAAAATACACATGTATTGACTTTACTGGGCTTTTGTAACTGGTTCTATTTAGAAACGCTCTGTCGGAAACTGGTACGTCGTCGAAATGAGTCCGTTCCGGCGAAGCGCAGCTGTGTAATGTTTGGGTTTGGGAGCTAGCAGCTAGCTCGCAGCTACTAGTTAGCGTCTTTATTTCCGGTCATTTCTAACCCACTGGAGCGGGTAACTTCTAGTTAACATCTGGTTAACTACTCCGAGTTAGCTGGACAGTGATTCTGCCGATACCTGGCCCTGTTTCCGGGCCTCGGCAAGTGGCTCCGATGGGGGCTGACCAGACGGAGCCAGAGGTGCCGGAGGATGCGGTGGGCAGGCGGGTGTCCTGCGGAGAGGAGCGGGCCACAGTGCGGTACGTGGGCCCGGTACCACCGACGACAGGTAAGACCTGACCCGGACTCTTGACACTCACTCACACACAGACTGCTTCTACTCTCCAACTTTTAGATCAGTTTCTCTGTTTGGAAACAATCTGAGACATGTGGGACCAGTGTTGTCCGGTACCGGGCTTCTGCCATCCAGGAGAAAAAGAAAACAAACCTTTATTTAAATGACTTTATTCATGAAGTACATCCCATAAACAAGCAGGGCCGTTTTAGGCATGTAAAAGAACAAACAACACAGATGGAGGACTCGCATCAGGACATCCTCACATCCAGCCAACAGAAACAACCCCTCAGATGGTCCAGCACTATCAAGCCAGGCTTTCCTCATGTAAGCCAGCTCAACTAAACCTGAAACCCTGGGAAGAGATAACAGATATCAGTCAGTGTCTGATGCTGGTGGGCAGTCATCACTGGTGTGATGTTTATATTTGAGAACTTGTTTATTTAAACAAAAAAAAGTTTTACATGGTATTGAACATTTCTAACTTGCCCCGTCCCAACGAGCAGGTGGAATCAGGGACATGAGTTTACAGACTCACCCACATGTGAAGCGAAGGCCGCGCTCTAATGCATCTACCTGAATGTTTGTTTCCAGGACTGTGGCTCGGTGTAGAATGGGATAACCCTGAGAGGGGAAAACACAACGGCAGCCATGAAGGAGTCTCATACTTCACATGCAGGTAATTCTCAGCAGCTTCTGTCAAATGCCAGCAGTCCTATAGGTTTAGTAGGAGAGACCTTCTTTCTTCTTTCTTTCTGGATTTGAGCCTTAGTTAGGTAGACAGTGGAGACAGACAGAAAACATGGGGAAATACGTCAGGAGAACGACATGCAGTAACTGTCCTGAATCCTGAGTAGCTCCCACTGCTCTGAGCATTTGCACCCATGTGTCCCAGCCACTCGGCTATGGTGGCGCCTTCCCAAGATTTGAAATGCCAAGAGGTGAGCTCTGTGTGGATGATATCTGTGAAGCTGTAAAGGCCAGAATACTTTGAAAATTGTCATGTACCACGGCTGATCACAAAGTCACAAGACTATCTTTAAACATTTAAAAACCCACCCGCTGAAGTAGTCTTCCAGTGCTCCCAGCGCCTCCAGCACTCCCTGGAAGTCCCATCATGGAAACACGCTAAGCATTGTCTTAGATTAGATAGTGTCAAAATGGCCACCCTTCAACTTCAATTTCATTCTGGAGAGGAGGAAAAGGTCACAGGGAGACAGAGCTGCTGAATAAGTTGGGCGGGAAGCAACAGTTGTGTTGCTGTGTCCAAAAAACTTGTGTGATCACGGTGCTGTGTCAGCCGTTCAGTTAGTCTTCAGCAGATGCACAGAAACCTCAGAATGCTGCAGTCCAGCCATCCTGCCTTGAGGAGTGACGACCACATGGATCTCGAGGAAGACTCCGAGCCTTCTCTGGACTTTTTACGGTTGTCCAGTTCAGGAAACTGTGATGTTTTCTTCTCTGCTCCAGTTTGAGCTCCATGAAGAAATGACAGCTGGGCACCGACCAGCGTTTACTGCTCACAGTCTCTGAGTGTTTTGGTCAACCTCGGTGATGCATTTTGTAATTGCTCAGTGGGTCAAACTTTTGTTTTTTCTTCAATTCTGACAGTTTTTGAATGTTTCTTATACAAACTAAGTGTCTTGTTGTGTGTGTTGTTGTTTTGTTTTTGTTGTTTTTTTTAATAAAATAAAATATCCACACTAAGAAATCCTCCCTTTTTGCCATCAATTTTGATAATGATCTCTAAGATGAGTCTGAAATACAAGAATAAGTATTTTCTGGTTTTCTGTCCACTCTCTCAGACACCCGAAAGGCGGCTCCTTCGTCCGTCCAGCAAAGGCCAGCTTCGGTGTGGACTACCTGACTGCTGTTCGACAGCTGTATGAGATCGACACAGAGGAGGTGTTGAGCGAGGAGATCTCTATCTCCTCCAAAAAGCTGAAGTGGGGGGGCATCAAGGAGCGCAGGTAAAAGGCTCATCACCTGTGGACAGTTAGTCAGGTGTGTTTGGATCGACCTCCAAGTGTTCATCAGCTGTTGTAGGTGCCATCAATGATCTGCACTTAAAGATGTGGTGCTCAAAGCGCTTTCACACACATTCGTACACCAGCGGCCACAGAGCTGCCATGCAAGGTGCTGCCTGCCATCGGGTTCAGGTTCAGTGTCTTTCCCAAGGACACATCGACTGTGGAGGGGATCGAACCACCAACCTTGCTATTAGAGGACAACCTGCTCTACCACCTGAGCCACAGTAAACATCACACGTGCTTTTTTGTTTTGGTCTCTCTACAGTTTTGAGAGTCTTCAGTCAGTTTTGCTGAACCGCTGTGAGGTGAACGGACCCGGGGCCGATGGGGACATCAGGAAGACGACACCCAGTATCTTTTTACAGACCTGTCAGATTTTAATTTGCCTGTAAAACTGACTTTGTTTTCATCTTGTCACTGATTCAGTGTGAATTTATTCGCGTCTTAAGTGTTTCTCGATAAAAGGTGTGTTCTATCTCGTAGCTGAGCTGGTTTGATTTGTGGCACTGTCAGTGACAATACTGTCCAAAGATCAGCCCCAGGGGGCATCAGGTGAGGAGCTGGAACAGTTCATCACTTACTTGACTGAGCAGAAAATGAAGTTAGAACTGTTCTGTCTCATTTGTTTAACGTGCCAAAAATCCGTAGCTCAAGTGTCTGTATTGTGAGACTTTCCTTTTTCTCTGTAACTTGTGGGACTTGTTTGGACAGCAGATGAGCAGAATGACTAAAAACTCATATAATTGAGAAACTGAGCACCAAATCAAGTACATAAAGTTCAGATGACTCAGTAGACGTGAGTGAGGATTGTGGGGAAATGGCTCAGTTCTGGTTGTAATGATTTTAAGGCTGGTACCACTGCCAGGTTGTGATTGTTGGTGTTGTGAACGTCAGCTGGCTCTGTGACACTTTGACAACACTGATCAGACGTGGAGTGGCTGGACCTGAGTGGGACTCTGCTGTCCTGCTGGGAGGATGTGGCTGCCATCACCCAGCAGCTGGTCAGACTGGAAGGACTGAGGCTCAGGTACGGCTTCCTCTGAGGACGAGCGTGTTTGTGTTTTTATGTTTGCTTTCTTTCCACTTCACATTTCGTTGTGTTTCATATTTTAGCTCCAACAGCCTGAGTTTTCCCGCCGACCCCTTGGCTCACCGCCAGGCTTTCTGCAGTTTGAAAGTCCTCGTCCTCAACAACAGCAAGCTCACCTGGCCACAGGTACACAGCCCTGCACATAACACAACATATAAAAGAGTTTATCATCCCTCCTTTTTCTTTTCTTCTTCTTCTTTCATAAACCGACTGCTTTCAATAAAGCTCTCGGCTAATTTCCTTCCTCAGCTCAGATCAAAACTCATCTTTCTTGTTGTATCGCTGCCTTCCAGTGGTTTACCTCTAGTTCTTCTCTCTGCCCGCTGCTCAGATCCTGGAGTGCGCCCACATGTGGCCACAGGTGGAAAATCTGTGTGTGGCAGAGAACGACATCACGGAGCTGCAGAGGTAACGCTGCCGTGCATCCATCCTGCCTCCTTGTTAAACAGTTTGTGTTTTCACTCCTATCATCCTGAAACCAACTTCTGCGTTTTCGTTTGATCTTTGAAAGGCCGGAGGGAGTGCTGCAGTCGCTGAAGAGTCTCAATCTGTCCAGTAACCCTTTGGTGCAGGACAGCGTGCTCAGTCTGTCAGCTCTGCCCAGGTACAGTACACAGTGTTCTGGTTGTAATGGGGAATACGCCAGCTCAGGACCAGTTTGTAGTGGTTAGGGAGATGGAATATATACATTCATAAGTATGTTTTCATTAGTGCGTGATATACCTCAGGATGATCCCTTTACGTCTACAGAGGAAGCGAGTCTTCTTCCACCCCATGTCACCGTGTTTCTAAAGGAACCAAGAACAAACAAATCAAACACGAGAGAGAGGAGTTTGCATTTTAAACTTCCGCTGTAGGTTCTCCTCCATGCTGGAAGGTGAGCTGAGGAGCATTTGGTTGGTTGCCATCTGCGACTTCACTGCTAAAAGCCACTAATCCTTAGAACTGGACCTTTCATCCCGGGCTCAGGCTGTACGGAACAACCTGTGAGTTTCCAGTGAGTCAGTATGAAGTTCTGTAGTAACGAGGTGCTCAGGGCTAATTGTCCTCATTATTAGGACCTTTTTTTTTAAAAAATGAAGATGTTTGACTAGAAATGTTGTTATTTTTAGCATTTAAAGCTAAAATAACCGTAAAAGCTTAATTAAAGTATGAAGTAGCGACTTTGTGAAAAGTTAGCCAAATTATACAGAAGAAAAAAAAAGTACAGCAAACTTTCACATTTATGAGTCTTTTTCATATTTAGTTGTTTTTTCTGTAGCAGTTCCCAACATAAGTAACTGTCAGTGAGATGAAGCTCTTATAATACAGAGAGAAACCCACCACATTTGTTCTGAGCAGTTTTTTAGCTATTAGGGAGGTTAAAGAGGCCGTCCTACAGACTATGTGTGAGTTAAAGGACATGCCGTGATCAGAAATAACTCCAAGAAAACGTGTGACTGTAGTAGTTAGTGGTGCTCTGCTCGTTCCTCCACGGATTTTATAGATCAGTGAGATGCCATTCTGACCTTCTGTCCACCAGTATTTATTCAACCTTCTTCTGCTCAGAGTGATGCGAAATGTTTAAAAGTGTGTCATAGTGAGATTTCTGTTGTCATGTCTACAGAAAAGGGGAACGCTAACATATGTGTAAAAGGGTCTGAATGCTTTTAGGATCTATTGTCACTTCTGGTTCCTTGGAACTCTTTGACCTGAAGGACTCTTTAAAAGGACTTGAACTCTACAGACAAAGTCAGAATGAAGTCATGAAGTCTCAGCATGGAGGTGGTAGTGACAATAATAGTGTTTTGTTCTTGAACATAAGCATGGTTTTGTCATTTACGTGTTACTAAACGTAACACGAGCTGAAGCAGACGTAATGAACTCTCTGCTGGTTCGTCACAGGCTGGAGAATCTGATTTTGTCCAACACCGGTCTGTCTGCCGTTCGATTTGAAGACGCTGCTCCTGGTAAACATGCTACACACTGGGTTTGATGTTCACCTGATCTGTTTTATGGCACATTGCATCAGAAAGCGGACATTTTACTGAATGTTTTGAACCTTTTTCTGTTGATGATCCATTTAAAGTTCAGACTCTTTGCTCTGTAGGATCTCAGACAGCCATGTTTCCAGCTCTGAAGGATCTCAACCTGAAATACAACAACATCACTGAGGTTAGTGTGTGTTCCTGCCTGTATTTATGTAGAATTACCAGCTAAAGACATTCTCAGGAGGCTGACTTATGTTGTAAAACAAGAAAGAACAGTGTTGGATGCTAGACTCATACACATCATGTGACAATTCTAGTTGTCAAGAGGTTGAGGGAAGCTAGAACTGACTTAAACTTGACTAGAAATGCTCCATTTACGTGAATGTAGGTATACATGGCACCATATTACCAACGTGGCTTGGGTTGGTCTTACCAGCCCCTAATCCTTTGCCTGAAATACTTGTACAGTGGGGTATACAATAGGTGGTAAATCATGGCATGCATTTTCATTTTAGCTGCCTCAAGAGATGCAGAGAATCTTAACAAAACTTTACACCAGTTTTTATAGTCTTGGACAGCTTGTTAATGTGAACATCAGCATATATTTAAGATTCTTTGACTCAGTCGTGGTGTGACGGTGGGATTAGCGTTCTCAGGTCCTGTGTTGTCGGCCTCCCTGACCTATCAACCGTCTTTCTGTCTCTCAGTGGTGTGTGGTGGACGAGCTGGCCAAGCTTTCCAGTTTGGTTCAGTTGTCATGTCACGGCAACAGACTGGTGAGCAGCGACGGAAACCCCAAGACAGCCAATCAGATGCTGATCGCCAAACTAGGACAACTGGTCCACCTGGACGGCTGTGCGGTGAGCTGGACATGCACTTGTAGAACCGGTTTGAGCTTTAGGCCACTCCTCACCTGAGGGTTAAAAGCCTGATATGAATGTCCACGAAGACAGCCGTGTATGGGCTCATGCTGATCTGTTTTTCTCTACAGATCCACCATGAGGACAGGAGGGGGGCGGAGCTCGACTACATCAAGATGTTTGGAGAGGAGTGGCTGAAGGCAGGGGGGCGGAGTCTGACCAGCCCTCAGTTCACCTCCCAGCACCCTCGCTACCAAACGCTCATCGACAGTAAGCCTCGCTCTCACTTCCCGCTCATCAGCTGACCAGCTGTAAGGAAACTCACTCACCTCGAGTGCTGCTGTTTCTGCAGACTGGCTAAAGTCAGTACGTCAGGCTGATCGTCAGCTTCAAGAAGTGAAAGTACACACTGGGTTTTCATTGACCATCCTGTTTTAGTTTGAGATGTAAATTGCAGGTAAAGTTTTCCTCCCCATGTTTCAGCGGGGGATGCAAGCTGAGGCATTGTGCAGGCATTTTCCAGGCACGACAGAGTGTCTGATGTGGGCTTTCACTGTCCGGTAGCACCAACTCCACATTTTCTCAGTTTCCAAACCTTTCAGATTTGTTGTGGCTTTACACAGAGAAGTGATGTATTTTTAAGTGAATACACAAACGGCTCTTACTTCATTTGTTCATGGTTCCTGCTTTTTCTTTTTTTTTCTTTAGACGACACTGTTAAAAATATTCAATTGTTCTTTTCTTCACACAAAGTGACAGTTCTATGCTTTTAGAGATCTCATCTGATGATGACGTTTTTCTGTTTTTCAGAGTACGGAGCTCCAGAAGAAGGTGAGCTGAAGAAGTTGGAGCCGTTCGCCCTGAAAAATCAGCTGTTAAGTAAGTCCCACCTCTCTGCTACCTGCTCTCTGAACGGAGCCATAAATGCACATACATGTGGTTTCATCAGAGCAGATGTGATGTTTCCTGAAAACCTTTTCTTTCTCACCTCACCAGAGATCACGTTTGTGTTTCCCGATGATGCCGACCAGAAGCCGATTGAAAAGAAACTTCCAGGTAAAGACTTAAAAGCTGCAACGTTGAGCCTAATGGAGCTGATCAGACTGAAGACCTTTTACAGGAACGTGTTTGAAACTAATGTGCGGCTTTCTGTTTCTGCTCTGGAGCATCCATGGTTGTCCAGAAGGTTAAGGGACTCCTGTACCGACTGCTGAAGGTCCCTGCGGCTGATCTGAAGCTCACCTACACCAGCCCCAAGGTAACAGCGGCTCACACTGTTCAAAACACGACGCATGGAAGGTCCGTGGAGACAGTAAAAGATCCTGTTTGATGTATTTTCAAGTATACAGCAGAGTAAAGTCGAGACTTTCAGAGGGAGCGACTCACGCGAACAGAGAAGTTCAGATGACAACACATACGTACAGGGAATGGGACTCCACCGTTCCTCCACTCTGTCTGTACACAGCAGGAAGCTGCTTGCTGCTGTACTCGTGTTAGATTTATATCCCAAATATCACATATTGCATCTTCAAGATAAAGACGTTGCATCATGTTTATGCTGCTAAGTGGTAAAGGATGCATCGTGCAAAGTCTACCAGCCGGAGCTTCTCTATAGAAACTCTCACCTAAACCTACATCAACCAGGGCAGGAGGATTCAACAACAGGAAAAACACTTCATTCTATAAAATGCTTGGCTCCTGTTTCTTTTATTCACCACTTGGGTTGTTGTAGACAAGACAAAATAACTTTGTGAATGAGCAGATTTACTCGGATCATTTCATGTCAGTTTAAATGTGTGTAACTCTGATTGTGAGACAGTAAAGATAAAACCTGATTCTTAATGCTCTCCTCGCTCCAGATGGTGGGGACGGAGTTTGAGATCGACAGCGACCTGAAGACGCTGCAGTTCTACTCCATAGAGGACGGAGACCAGGTGCTGGTCCGCTGGTCCTGACCCAGACCAGGAGGTGAAGAACCACAACAGAGTCTTCTGGGAATGAACCTCAGCTGTTTCTGTGACGCTGAGTGTTTTCCATCAGTGACGAGCAGACCCACACTGAGAGGGGCGTTCACTGCATTAACTCCCTTGTGCTGCTTTTCATTTGTTGCCATCAGATTTTCAGAGACTTTTCCACTTCCTCCAGTTTTTCACACAAAAACTAAATTTTACGCTGACATACAACATACAAGGATGTGGCTCTGGACAGGATTTAAATGACTTTATGAGCAGCGAGTTCACTGAGAGACAGGACAGTTCAGCTGTAAATGACACAGAGGAGGCGGTTAAAGTGGACTCACTGGAGGGTACCTGTGTTAGAATCAGCCCACCTCCCTGTAGGTACAAATAAAAACTGCCCTCTCAATGAGGCTTTTCATTTTTATTTATGCAGCAACTTTTCTCCCACAGCCACAGCATTTAGTGGAATTGTTAAACATTTCTGTGTGTGCTCATGTTTTTGGGGGGTTGGTTGGGTTTATGTGGGATTTAAAAATGTGGATGACAACTGCAAACACACTGTTCAGAACGCTGCACACTGTTTTCTTATTTTCTTTCAGGATAAAAATGTTTCAATCGTCACAAGATCGCTGGATGTAGATGAACAGATGAACAGAAATGTAATAAATGAGAGAAATAAATTTGTTCGGTTGAATTTAACGGCTGCAGTGCTGCGTTAGTCTTTTATTTTAGAACATAAGCATTACTCCAGATGTGGACATCAGCCAGCACCGAGCGCGACTGGAAGGCTGACATTATTGGAACTGTGCTGCTCCAGATACTCGTAACTCAAGGCTCACACTCTGGACACTTCTGCCCTTTGACTGCCTTCTTCAGAGAATGGAATGAATATATATTTATAGTATGTGGCGGTGCTTGTATCAGAGCCAATCTCATAGAAGTACCACTGATCAGTCCTCTAAACCTGACTTAGCAGCAGCCAGGACTTCAATTTGACACGTCCTTGAGTTTACTGGAAATTACCTCAAACCTTTATGTGCTTCAAACACAGAGTGACTGAGCTCTGTACATAGCAGATTTGACTGCAGTAAATGTCTGTCCAGTGCTGACTTAAACTATGAGGAGCAGGGCGCTAAATGTACAGGGCCCTGATGCAGCGGTCGTGGGTTCGGGGTGTGGCACAAACCTGCTCCGGGCGGGACTGTGATCCGGCATGTCGAGTTTGGGGCAGATCGGAGCAAGTGTGGCCTAGTTACGAGCCACTTCCTGTTTAGTGGCGAGCCGCGGCGGCGTGCGTGTTGGCCGGGGTGGAAACATGCTCTGGCTGAGACTCGGAGCACGCGTGTAAAATTTCAGGCCGATTGGAGCACAGACAC